AATGCAACAATATAAAAAAATAGAAGAATATCTGCATACATTACCATGTGGATGTGGTCAGCAAAAAACAAATGCTACTAATTTTGGTATAACAGGTGGAGTTCATGCAACTCTATCTGAAGTATTAAATTTTTCAATGCCAAGTCTTCGAATGAATTCATTAGATGAAAAACGACGAAAAAAAATTTTCCATAATTTAGAATCCTTAAAAGGTTGGATTACAAAAGACATCGATTTTGATGAAACAAAAAGATTCGAAATAGTTAAAGTATTATATAAAATAGCTCGAGCACTTCGACAATTGGCTTTTGACGTAAATAAAAATGATTTATTCATTTTTGTTTTTGTTTAATATATTATTTTTTATATTTCTTAAGGTACAACCATCATTACCTGATATATTTTTATGGATGATATGTGACTCAAAACGAGTCGCTTATTCTCGATTATCACCGGAAGATCTTCTTTACAGTACATGTGAAGGTGAAAAAGGTTTATATAATGGTCGAATACAAACACTCTTTCTTCAAGTTTGTTATCTATTAATTTTCTTATATTTTTTTGTTTTTTTGATAAATTGTTTTATTTTTAAGAAACCACGTACTTCGGATAAACCAATAAAACCATCAATGAATGCTAAAATACAAATATTTCTTTGGCTTGGTACCGAAGAACAAGAACTAAATATATTTAAACAATTACCTCCTGGATTTGATATACCACAATCAAAATTATCTAATGACATAAAATATATACAATATAATGGTTAAAAAACCAAATAGATTCTTGAATGAATGAATATATGTAATTGATATTTATTTTAGGAAAATCGTTTTATGAATTACGATGTCATTGTTATAAAGCAAGATCATTAAATGCTTCGGATGAAACAGGTTTCTCTGATCCTTATTTAAGTATTACAGCTGGTAATGAAACACAAACAACACCTGTAAGTTTATTATAATATTTTTGAATTATTTAATATGTTCTTTAAATTTTCAATAATATTTCTAATAATTGAAAATAATTTTAAATTTTTACAAGACGAAACTATATTATAGAAGTTGAACGTGTTTTTGTTTTTTCTTTTATAGATTCTCAAACAATCATTATGTCCACAGTGGAATATAACATTAGTTTTTCGAAATTTAATGCATGTTGGAAGTCGAGAAACAGCTGAACAAACCATTGGAAATGTTGTTGTTGAATGTTATGATTATGACGAAGTAATTATTAGATTTTTCATTTTATTATTAGTTAATTTATTATTTTCCTCTTTTTATTAATCGATTTCTATAGCTAAGTTGTCATTATCCAAGATTTATTAGTTAGGAAGGAACATTTCCAGATGTCAAAATGATTTTCCATCGAGACAATTCTTTATTTGATAATTTTTAGAATCATAGAAAAGTCTAAAATGGTTTGCTTTTTCGAATCGTTGTTTTTTATATATTGAAAATTAATCGAATTTTTCAATAAAAAGTTGTCATTATCTTTAAATCATGTGCAAGTTTCAACTTCAACGTTTGCATAAACAAAACTCTCAAGGAGATTTGTTCATTAGTCAAATTGTAGATTTTCTAGTATTTTCTATGATGAAATATTCAAAATTTTCTCATCTCTAAAAGCAAAGTTAGTTCATATAGTATTCAAATCTCCAGAAAGAAAATACTAATCTCACAATGAACTAATCTCATTAAGAACTTTGATAATACAAAGTTTGAATTCGAAATTGAAAAGTCAGGTTTCTTGTCGTTTCTGAGGAAGACCACGACATCGTACTAAAAAATGCCGTAAAATGTAACACCTTGACATCAATAAATCCATAGAGACTTGTATATGTTCCTTTGTTAATACTTTGTCTATAAAAAAAAAAGAAAATTTGATATTATATGAGTTTAATCGATCTTTTTGAAACATAATTTATTTTGTGAATTTGATGATTGATTAAATTTCATACAATTGATGTTCCAACATGTCTTCATATATCCTTTTTCTGGTGTTGAAATGTATAGATCATTGATAGATATGTGTTTTCGATTTATTCAATTTTTATCTGAATATAATTAAGTCTAGTTGTTACCATTAATATAAATGAACAGTAATTTTTAATGTTATTTTTGTTTATTTAGTCCGATAATGGATCTGATTTGATAGGTCGATTGTCAACAACAGCTAAACTTGATCTATTTAATGGAGATGAATCAAAAAAAGACTCATTATTTCAATGGTATGAATTTAAATTAGGTGAAAAAAGAGCTGGAGAAGTTTTAGCTGTATTTGAACTAAACGAAGTTAATTCGGTAAAAATAAATAAAAAAAAGAAATATTTTATTTTCAAAAAATTTCATTTCTTATTTCAATAGGAAACTCAACAAATTGAATCAATATTTGATCTTGAAGAAATTGAAATTACACCGGAAAATTTTCCACCTAATTCATATATAACTAAATTGTTAAAAAATAAAGTTTATAATATTCCATACATAATTATGCCTGATTTAAAACCATATGAAATAGAAGTAAATTTTTATATTTTTTTATTTCAAATATAAAAATAATTCTAATAAATAGGTTATATTTTGGGGTTTACGTGAATGTCGTCCAATTAATTTTCAATCAATTCAACAAGCTGAAGTATCAATTGACTGTGCTGGTGCACGTATAACTAAAATCATAAAAGATGTAGAAAAATATCCAAATTTTGAATCAACACCCACAGATTCAGACACCTACAAAATTATAGTTGTATGAACAAAAAAGACCAAAAATGAATTCTTTGTTTTTCATTTTACTTATTGTATACCTTTTAGGATTTACCAAAAGATAATACTTTTTGGCCACATTTAAGTATTTGTTGTGTACAACACCGTCTTTTTGGAATGAAAGAGCCTGTCGGTAATCTGGTCGTAACTGATTTACAAAAATATCTTGAAAAACCAAATATTACTTCAACATCAAATAATGCAGCGGACACTGACACAGTTAATGAAATTTCAAAAAGACGTCCAGCTGACCTTCATCATATTCGACGATCAGTTTATGATGCTTATGAAGGTAATATTAACTATTTATTTTTATATTTCGTAATGGTGCTACATTGATAAAGTATTAGAAATGAAAGATCATCTTAATGAACTTTTTCTCGCTTAACCTTTTGTTGCTCTATGGTTTCGTTAGGAAACATTTCATATAAATTTTCATCTCTTGAACTGTGGAACATTTAGAAACAGATTTTATATCAACTTAAAGTCAATTTATTGTAGACTTCAAATCAACAATATCAATGTAATATTTAGCATAAAAATAATTTTTTTTTGAACGTACGGTATTTGTGAGTATCTTTGATTGAGTTGACTAGATAGATGAGCATTATTTTCATCCATATTTAAACCGTACGACATGAATGTGGTGTTTTTACATTTACATGAATAATGTTATCATATCACATTGGTTGTAAATTTAAGAAATCTTTTCAAATAATAAATAATAACGAATGCATTTAACTATTTTATATTTAATACATTGATGCTTGACTATAGTATGAAAATACTATATTTTGATAATTTGAAAATAGTTGAAAATATATACAGAAGATGAATTAGATGTAATGTGTTTCTTACGAATAATTCGAGTGCAAAAACCAATATAATCAAAATAATCAATGTGTTTTGTAACAATGATTCGAAATTTTTAAATTGTGATAGACGAAAATAGAAGATAGAAGATAGAAATGGAATGAAAAATTTCATATTGCTTTGATAATGTATCTCTATGAATAATTCATCAACTGAAATAAAGATATTTGTTTAGATTTCTAAGTTAAATTCTTCATAAATTATTTTATTTCTTCTTCATTTCTTATGTATTTGATGTTCAGGACACACATAACATAAATCATTGTTTTATTTCTATATTTCAGCCACATTAACTACTAAAAATGACAGATTAACAAGGAGACAAATATTAATGCTCGAAAACGAAGCAGGTCAAACAAAACTTCTTAATGAAAGTCAACAAGCAATAATTAATGCTGATTCATTGGAACTAGAGAATAGCGTAAGAAATTCGAAATAACTTATTTTATTTAAAAAAAAATTATTTTATCAAACATTTTTTCAGAATGAAACTTATGAAACATCAGAAAAAAGACAAATTTCAAACGATTCTGATATTAAATTGGAATCATCTGTTGATAATTGTCAACAATTAACAACTTTAGATAGATCAAAACGAAACCAAATGGAAAAATCTGCTACTTGGTGGAGTAAATATTATGCATCAAAAGCTAAACTCGTATGTTCAATCTTTTAAATTCCTTTAAAATATGTTTAGTTTTTTCTATTTTACTTTCATTGTCATAGAGATTAGAAAAAAAATTAAAAACTGATTTCGATGAAGGACTTCAATTAAATTATAATGTTTATGCTGATTTATTTGGAGATGAATCAAGTCAGTTATCTTTTTTCCAATTTTTTTTCTTTGATCAAATTTTTTTTTTCTTTTAGAAGTTCTTTCTAAACAACGTTGGGCATTTTTGAATAAAGCTAAAAAAGCTTTTATGCGTCTTGGAAAATTTGGTAAAGACTTTGAACGTTTCGCTGTTAATGAATTCACATATCTTGCTGAATATTCAAAAGTAATATAATCATTTTTTTCTTGTTTTTTTCTTTAAGATTTTAATTTTTGTCTTTTTTGTTTTTTGTTTTGTTTTAGTCTAAATCAGTTATTGATGAAAGTTTAGATATTATTGAAACTGATCGTCTTAAAGAATTAACATTACTACAAACATTTGATGTAAGAAATAATAAATAATTGAAAAAAAAATTTCTTAGAATAGATATTCAACAGATAGATAACGACACATAAGACTTATTTAGAGATACAACTGATTTAACGAATATCGAAGCTCTTTTTTTTTTTTGTTTCATTTATTTTATCGTTTCCGCTCTAATTTCGTTAATATATTGTCGAGAAATGTTTTTATACAATATAATTTTGTATTTTTCTCTTTTTTCAATAGATTATTGAAACAGAATTGGAAAATGTTCATGATTATGAAGGATTTAATGATTTTCTTGATAAATTTCCTTTGTAAGTTTTATTAAAAAATAAAAAAAAAAAAACGAAATATTTTAATTTCATTTATTTAGATATAAAGGAAAAGGTACAAATCGTTCAGATGAAAAAGGAAATGAAAATCGTACTTATGCCAAGTTTAAGGTCAGTCTATTTTTATTCACTTTTGTTTATTTGTTTTATTTTATTTTAGGGAAAACTTCGTATTCGTGAAATCACATCAGGTGAACGTCGTAGGACTTCACAGAGTATTAGAAGAATGTCTCGACCATCAATTAATCCAGTTTTACTCAGTGGTCAAATCGAATCCGAAACAAAGCAAAAAATTGCTTCAAGTATTCATTCATATCAAGAAATGCTTCAATTTGATTTAAATCAACACCCAATTACACTTAAATGTCGATTATATATAATAAAAGCATTATTATTTCGTACTTGGGATGCATCAGGTAAAGCTGATCCATATATTAAAATTGTAATAAATAGAGAAGTTATTATCGACGATGTTAAAGATAGACTTTATAATACATTAGAACCTGTTTTCGGAAAGTAAATAAAAAATTAATTAAAAAAAAAAAAAACAAAAAAAAAATAAATATTTAATTTATTTAAAATAATTTAAATAGATCTTATGAATTCGAAGTTACAATTCCTCAACAATCATTATTACGTATTCAAATTTGGGATTGGGACTTAGCAAATTTAGATGATAGAATTGCTGAAACAAGTATTGATATTGAAAATCGTTGGTTTTCATGTCATAGAGCAACATGTGGTTTACAAAAAAGATACGATAGGTTAATTCATCAATTATATATATATATTTAGTTTTTTTTGTTTTGAATATTTAGTTTTTGAATAAATATCTTTTGAATTTAGTGCTGGTTATAATGTTTGGCGTGATACAAAAACGCCTGTTGTTATTTTAAATGAAATATGTCGAACAGCAAATTTAAATTTACCAGTTTATGCAACAGATTGTCGTTCATTAAATATTGGTGATACACGTTTTGATTGTGATCCGGAATGTATTCAATTTATAAATGATGGAAAACCAAATGATCTGTCACATCGTAAAGTTCATCATGAATCACCAGATGAATATATTCGACAAAATACAGCATTGGCTGCACTTCACGGATGGGGAAGAAAAATAAATCCAGTAAGAATATTTTATTTTTTAGTTTTTAGAAAAATTTTTTATTGTAATCAATATAGAATGGTGCTTTAGTATCTGAACATATTGAATGTCGATCACTTTTTGATCCTAAATTTCCCGATGTCGAACAAGGCAAATTGGAGATGTGGTTAGATATATTTTCAATGTCTCGTCCACCATCTAGTGCACCAGTTGATATAACACCATTAAAACCAATGCCTTATCAATTACGTGTAACTATTTGGAATACATCAGATGTTGAATTAAATGATGAAAATTTTGTAACGGGAGAAAAAACCTCGGATATATACGTAAAAGCATGGATTTTAGGAGAAAAAGATGATGGACAACAAACTGATATTCATTATCGGTTAGTTTAAAAATAAAAAATAAAAATAATTTATTTAAATTAAAAAAAAATATAATTTATTCAAATAGATCATTAACAGGCGAAGGCAATTTTAATTGGCGATTTATTTTTGATTTTAATTATATAGATATTGAAGAAAAAATAGTTCATGAAAAAAAAGATTCGGTTTTTCAAATTGGAAATACATTGAAAAAAGTTCCACCAAGAATTGTTATTCGTATTTATGATGCTGATCTTTTTTCAGCTGATGATTTTCTTGGTTTGTTTTTAATTATTTTTTTTTATTTTTTTTTTATTTGAAAAATATTTTAATTTTTTTAAAGGTGAATGTATTCTTAGTCTGACACATTTACCAATTGGTGCTAAACTATCAAAAAAATGTAAATCTGATATTTTACTTGATTCAAAACATCGATCATTAAATTTATTTTTAAACAAACGAATTGCTGGTAAAATTATTTTGCTTTTTATCAACATAAATTTCAATTATTAATTTATTTAGGTTGGTGGCCAATGATTGCTCCATTGAAAGTTGGAGAAGTTCGTGATACAGCTCTATTAGGAGTATGTTCACAATAATAACAAAAAAACAAAACAAAACAAAATCAAATAAATTAAATTCTATTTCTTTTCTTTTTGATTTAAATAGGGTAAAGTTGAAGCTGAATTTAGTCTTCTTACAGCTGAAGAAGCTGAAAAAAATTCTGTTGGTAAAGGACGTGAAGGACCACAACCACTTGATGAACCAAAGTTTGTTTTATTTAATTAATTAATTAATTTGAAAAAATAAATATAATTTTGTTTTATTTTAGTCGTCCGAAAACTTCATTTTTATGGTTTACATCTCCATGGAAAACATTTCGATATGTTATTTGGCGTAATTTTCGATGGACAATACTTATTACCATAATTATATTTATTTTTGTTCTTTGTCTCTTAATTGGTTTATGGTCAGTGCCGGGAGAATTAGTTGGAATTGTTTTAAATAAAATTTTTAAAACAGATACCGGCAAAAAATAAAGACGATTTTCGATTAAATTAATGCTAATTTAATCTCTCATTTTTTTTGTTTTTTATTGTAATATTTAACATTCAATAAAAATTATTTATCTAATTATGCAATTTTTGGTTTGTTTTAAAAGCAGGAAAATGAATTAAAAGAAAAATCTATGTTGATGTAATTGCGTAAAAGAAAAGAAATTACATTGTATAAAAGGTTATATCGTATGTGATGTAGAGAAGAAGTTTATTTTCTTATTTTTCTTTCTTTAATATAGACAATAATTATTGTGTTTTAGATGTGTTCTTCTGATGAATTTCTCTCATATTTAAATGATCCTCAATATCTTTCAAATCTTCTTAAAGAAAAATCTAATACAATAATAGATGATTCGATATTTTTTCATATCGCAAATCATTTTCTTTGTAAAGATATATCTATTGAAGGACTTTCTGTTCAACGAAATTTATATGGTAGACCACGATCATCATCATTAAATAAATGTGAAATTGATCTATTTATATTAAATATAAAAGAATGTATAAATTCTAATTCTGAACAATTAACTAAACTTTTTCTTCAATATTTACATAATATAAATCGATTATTACCAAATTATTTTCGTGATATTGCTTATTTATGTGCATTGATTATTTTACCACATAGTAATAAAAATGTTCTTTCATGTATTCTATGTGCATTTATTGAAATGAATACATTAAATAATTTAAGATATGATTTAATTATTAATGGTTTATATAAAAATGAAGATGAACAAGAAGATAATCCATGGATTGATCATTTAACAAAATTAATTGTTGAAAAAGATAATCAATGGTTAAGAAAATTTTATTTAGAAAAAATTTATACAAAACAACTTTTGCATGCTATTGATACACATGATCAAGAGAAGATTTTTAATATTCAACCAATAAAAATAAATTCAGAAGAATTATCTTTAAAAACAATTGAAAAAATCGAGTGAGTATTTTTTTTTTGTTTTATTTAAATATGAATCGATCTCTCAAACTAAAGATTATACGAATGATCGAAAAAAAAAAATTTAATCTATAGTTATGTTAATAGTAAAAAGAAAATACAGGGCATTTATTTTATCTGAAGATCTTCAGAAAATCTTTTATATGACTTATCAAATATCGAACAAGAGAAGTTAAATATGAATATGCACAAAATTAATATTTATCAAGTCCAGCATAGTTTTATTTTTTGTCGAGTTAAATTTGATCTAAAATGTTACTAGAATTAAGTAGAATTATATAAAAGAAGGATTTTTGAAAATGTCGTTGCAAAAAATTCGCTTTATAATGAAAAGAGAACGCTTGAAAATCTTACAGTTCATCTAAAAAATGAATAAGATTTCACTAAAATAAAGAAAATTATCAAAAACTAATATATGTACTAGAAAAAGATTCTCTAACATTTGGTAAAAATAAAAAAAAAGAAGACAAAAGTGAATAGCTAGAATTGTGGAAACGTATTATTCATGAATATGTCATTAACACATGATTAACATTCGACTATGTTCTTGTGAGTGTGAGAGTGCGATTGTTATCTTCTGTCAAACTACTCCCACCAACATCCTTACTGATTCGTCTTTTGTTGTGACAAAAACAAAAGATGATTTAGCACGAAACTTAATTAAAGTTGATCAACTGATTTATTGAGAACTTTTTGCCATTCATCTGTTGTTTTTCTAATAAATTTGATTCAATATAAATTGTTCATGGTTTTATATACTCGATAAAGAAAAATCTCTTGAAGTTTCTGTCGATATTTCTATTTTCGATCAAAATTGAAAATAGTCTAAAAAACTTCAATGATAATAAAAATATTGTGAATTTTTAATAATGTTTTTATTTTTTTAGTTTAAGTGAAGTATCAACTTTAGATGATCTACATTCAAGATTATTATTCTATGTATCAAATAATCTTCATAATAATTCAATAGATGAATTATGTTTATTTAATTTATTTTCATCATCAAATAATTATCCAAATGATCTTCATATATTATTTTCTTGTTTATTAATATCTATTATTGATAAAAATAATTATTCAATATTAAGTCTTCGTTTATTTCGTCGTTTAATTCTATTAATAAATAATTATTATATAAATCAACAAGATTTATTTGATGATAATCGTTATCGTTTAATAATTGTTTATCTTGTTTCAAAATTAATTTGTGAACTTCATCAACGTCGTTCAAAATCTGAACATGAATGGTATTGTTTATATATTGATATACCAAAAGAACATCCATTACCAACATTTGATTTATTTTCTGATCTTATTTGTTTATTAGCAACATTATGTTATAATCATATTCAATGTCAAAATCAAGTTCGACAAACATCTGGTACAATTGAATCAATTCTTTCAATGACACAAATTGATCTTAATCAACCAAAAGCTCAAGCATCTGTTACTTGGTTAATTAAATGTTTAACTGAAAATAACGAAGAAAATAGAAATTATATTAAACAAATAAAATAAAATAAAATAAAATAAAATAAAATAAAATAAAAGAAGAATTTTATTTGTTATTCGTTTTGTTTTTTTTGTTTTTAGATGAATAGAAAAATTCAAAAACTTGATGAAACAGTTGTTAATCGTATAGCTGCTGGAGAAATTGTTGTACGACCATGTGCAGCAATAAAAGAACTTGTAGAAAATAGTTTAGATGCTGGTGCACATACAATACAAATTCATGTTAAACAAGGAGGTTTAAAATCAATTGAAATTCGAGATGATGGATGTGGAATAAGTAAAGTTGATTTACCACTTGTTTGTCAACGTTTTGCAACATCAAAATTAAAAAATTTTGATGATTTATATCATTTAAATACATATGGTTTTCGTGGTGAAGCTTTAGCTTCATTAAGTTATGCTGGACATGTTAAAATTATTAGTAAAATATCAGAAAGTCCATGTGCTTATATTTGCCAATATGAAGATGAAAAAATTCGACCATCAACATCAATTAAACCTTGTGCAGGTTAGAATATATATAAAACAAAATAGAAATCGTTTTCTAAATGTCTTCTGATCAAGTCTGCTTTTATTTATTTTCATTTAAAAACTTCTCTAACTTAATTCGAAATTTATCATATAAAGTTACTTATAAAATGACTAAATTTAAGGTTTGCTTTATCGGAAATTTCGTTTTTAAAAATTTAATATATTGAACTATAAATTAACAATTTAAGATCTTTCTACTTAATTATTTTAAAATCAATATTGATCAACAAGATTTTCATAAATCTAATATTATGTAGATCAAATTGAATTAGAATCATTCATAATTAATAATTATTCATTGAAATAAATCAAAGATAAAAATAATCTTTTTCATTAGACAAATGAAGATAAAAAATAATATAATATCAAAATTAAAACAAAAAATTAACACGAACGAAGTCATCAGGAAATTTTTTAGTTTTTTTTTTTTTTTTAAATAGGTACAAATGGTACATTAATAATAATTGAAGATCTTTTTTATAATAATCCAATACGTTTAAAAATGATGAAATCACCTTCTGAAGAATATACAAGAATGGTTGATTGTATAATGAAAATGGCCTTACGTAATACTCATGTTTCTTTTTCACTTAAACGTGATCAACAAATCGAACCTGATGTTCATACTAATGGAAAAGAAACAACAACTATTTTACAAAATATGAAAATGTTATATGGAGCTGATATGGTTAAAGATATGTATGAAACAATTATTAATAATGATGATACACCTTATAAATTTCAATGTAAAACTTATTTTACTGGAACACAATATTCTGTTAGTTTTACCTTTTTTCATTTTAAAATAAATCAAATTAAAAATAAAATAATTTTTTTGTTTTTTTTTAGTGTTCATCAAAAAGTTCTTCAAATTCCATGACATTTATTCTTTTTATAAATGGACGTTTAGTTGATTGTCAACCATTAAAAAAATCTATTCAACAAATGTATGCTGTTTTAGTTAATAAACAAACATCTCCATTTGTATATCTTGATTTAATAATGGATCCAACAACATTAGATGTTAATATACATCCAAGTAAAAATGAAGTCAGATTTTTACATGCTGATCCAATTATTGTTTCGATTGTACAAGCTATTGAACGTATTATTGTTGCGAAATCAGCAAAACAAACAACAACTACAACTCAATTGACATTTCATATGGTTTGTTTATTCATTTAATTAGTTTTCTTTTTAATTTATCTATTCGCGTGATAATCTACAATCAAATTATTAATGAGATATTATAGAATATTGAATTCATATGAGATAGAAAAAAATCTAACATATTCACGAATATATTATTAGGCATTTATCGTTATGTTTTTTTTTAGTTTTAACTTAACATTCAATTGAGAATGAATCTTAAAAATTCATTTCTGTTTAAAGATTAATTAACTTTATGTCATAGACTCGATTAAATAGTAGTTACTAGTGATTCTTTATTGATTTACTCTCTGACTGTCAAGAAATCTTCATGCATCTATAAATCATAAATATCGTATTTATTATCCATTATTGTTGCATATATACGATTATTTCGAAAGTTCGTGCAGCTCATATTCTATGAAATCTTACGATAATAATTACTGCATTTTTTCCGTGTAATGACCTTCGCTAGCAATCACATGTTGTCAATGATCACGCAAACTGCTTGTGCCATTAGAAACATTCGAATAGATGCAGCAATTGTTATCGTACGGTTTCACAGAATATGAGTTGTACAGACTTTTCAGAGAATTGTATATTCGTCATGTTCTTTTTTAATTAAACAACTGCATGAGTACAACTTTTTGTATCCTACTCGTACCCAGGTATAAGTACTCGACTCGTGAGTCACATTACTGTGACACATGGCTGATAATTTACCAGAGCACCCAATCTCAACTAAGGGATCAAGAATAATGTTATTAACGAGCAACAATAAAAATACATCTTTTCAAATTTTTTATGCCTTGTAATGTTAAAAATGAAGTTTGTGTTTTCACAAATCGTTCATTTTCATAGCTGTACTTTATCCGCAGATTACAATACTCTTGTATAGAATTGAATCCTTTGTCTAAAATAATTCAGAAAACAAAAACTTTCCAAAAATGTCTTTAAAATGTGTTGATTGTATATAGATACGTATGATTTCTCGTTTAAAATGTATGACCTAAATAAAGTTGTATATTTTGTTTTTTTTTTTCAGACACCAACTTCAATGGCTTTAGTACCTCCAACTCCAAAAGATCCTGTTGAAACAGATACAACATCAAAAAAGATATCATCTGATACAACAAATTCCACAATGAAAAAAACAAATATAAATATTGGTCCATCTCATACTGTTCGTACATCTAGTCATGATCAAAAACTGGATAAACATCGTTATCATAATAGTTCAATATCAATTCCAAAGAAATCAATAATTTCTTCGACAACAATATCACCATTAGCTTCAATTGTATTTCCACGTAATATTAAATTAACATCAATTGAAATATTACGTCAATCAATTAATGATGATTGTGATACAGATTTATTAAATATAATACGTAATTTTGTTTATGTTGGAACAATTGATGGACAATCATCACTTATTCAGCATGATACTCAATTATATTTAGTTCATACAAGACATTTATCTCAAGAATTATTTTATCAATTATGTATTTATCATTTTGGAAATATGGGAACTATTCGATTTGAACATGAATCACCTTCAATTGAGGTTACTTAAATTAATGGGTTTTTTTTTTTGTTTTTGTTGAAAAACTTAATTATTTGTTTTTTTTTGTTTGTTTAGGAACTTATTCGTCTTGAAACAGATAAGGAAGAAATAATTGAATATGTAATTGATCTATTAAAAGAACGTCGTGAAATGCTTGAAGATTATTTTTCATTTCGTATATCATCAACAGATCCAATACGTTTAGAAACTCTTCCTATTTTACTTGATACATATATACCTAATCTTGATTATTTACCACAATTTATTCTACGTTTATGTAAAGAAGTTAATTGGACAGATGAACGTGAATGTTTTCGAACATTTGCTGATGAAATATCAAAATTTTATTCTTATCGAATGCATATTTATTCAAAAGAAGATGGAGATACAGAAGAAAAACAACATTGGGCTATTGAACATTTACTTTATCATGCATTTAAAACAATGGTTGTTCCATCAAAACATTTACGACAAGCTTTTATTAAATTAACTGAACTACAACAATTGTATAAAGTATTTGAACGATGTTAAGAAGATTTTTATTTTATTTTCGATATTAACAAAAGAATGTGAAAAAAAAAATAAAGTTCGATATATTGTCATTTTTTATCTTGATATACTATTCATATTGTATTTAAAGTTATTTTATTATTAAAAACTTCTATTTTATATCAAATTTCGATAGAAAGAGAATAAAGATTTCGAAAGAATCTCAAACGATTCAATGATTTATATATGATTTAATGTAATATTATAGATCGATCAGAATCAATGATTAATATAATCGATTTTTGTATACTTTCTTTTTTCATTTTGGTTAATATGTAAATTAAGGATTTTTCTAATTGATTATAAGTTAAAATAAAAATAATATTTCATAAAATAAATAGAGTTTAAAATCAATCCTCTAAACAATTTACTTACTATTGAAATAAAGTGTTAACGATATCGTCGCAATGCAATTGAAGTAGTCATGATAACATAAGTATACGTGATATTCTTGACATTTTTTCTTTATCACTGAATAAGCTGTTCGATGTTAGATTACAATAATAAGTTTTAAAAAATGACAACGTTGATAGAAACAAATGATGAAAAAGAAGATATTATTTTTCCTTTACTTAAAACAACAACATCTGTTTATAATGATATTATTATTATTGAATCTAAAGTATTAGATTCGAATAATCATCGTCAACATGATTTTATTGGCAATAATAATAAAGAAAAAGAAAAATCAATTGAAATTTCATTGAATCAAAATGAATTTGAATCAGTAACTATTTCATTTTATAATATTAATTATATAATTGGAGATAAAACAGTTAAAAATAAATCATCTACTCGATGGCAAACAGAAACATTTCCATGTTGGAAACCAATATCAAAAAAACAAATTCTTACGAATGTTTCGGGAATTTTTACTCCTGGAATGAATGCTATATTAGGTATGATTTATATTCGAGTTTTTATTAAATTTATACTTGCAAACAAATTGATTAGATTTCGAATAAAATTTTTCTATATATTCTATGATAAATAAAAATTGTTATCATTACAATGAAATTCGATTGATATAATAATTCTTATTGTATGTTGATTTTTTTCAATGATAGGACCAACAGGTTGCGGAAAATCGACTCTACTTGATATTCTCGCAGATCGAAAGGATAGTCGTGGATTATCAGGAAATGTTCTTGTGTCAGGACAATCTCGTCCTTCTTATTTTAAATATATTATTGGTTATGTTATTCAAGAC